ATCTCTCTCCCCCCCCCCCCCTCCGCCGCTTGCTCTAAAAAATCCCTTTGCAGAGTGACGAAAAAAAAAAAAAGAAAAAAAAAGTTCTTCTAATTGGACGAGAGACCTTTTTTGAAAATGACGCAATAGTCATATAAAATGTATAAACCTCATTAACCCGTGTTTTTAATAATACGGATGAAAAAATAAATTTTTTATTTACATCCTTCAACTAAATTCTATTTAAAATGCCTGGTATCAGTCAGCATCGCAAAGGTCTATCAAGACCGTTAACACGCTATATTACCTTTCAATAAGTTCAGTATAGAAACTGTCGCGAGGTTCAACGAACATGGCGTCCGATCTTATGAATTACGTAATAATTACGTTAAAGTTTCGTAGCTCCACTTCATAACGCTGATAAACAATGGCGAACCGAATTGAAAATTATTTATGCATGCGCCACAGCTTTTGGTGCGAGATTTCTCCACTTATATATATATATATATAATACACGTAATATACATATATACAAAGTATGGCTATATCTTCCATAGGGAATTCCATACATATATATATTTGCATAGGGACCCGAAACACACGCGCAGCAAGTAGTTTACGAACAACAAATATAGTTGTGATTACATGCACAGAGTGCATGCTGCACAGATTGTACAGTCTATATATACCCACGTAAAATCAAAGTGAAAATGTATTTCGGCGTTGCCATGGGAATTCGGCTCGCGCCCCAAACACATCGATAACCTATCAATTGACCAATACCAGTTCGCCCAAATATTACGCGATGCAATGATTCGGCCTGGGTTGCCGATAGAGGAAGGTGAAGAGGGGGGAGGAAAAGGTGGAGTCCCCGAGTACCAAACTGTACAGCAAACACGTGGTGAATCGACGACGCCTGCCGTACATACGTACAGTATATAGACAACACGGGGGTTGCGCCATACGGTAAAAGAGTTGGTTAACGATAGTACAAAGAATTTTCGTATCATTTATAAATCCCCATAGAGTCACGTATACGGTGTAACACGTGTCACGTAATCGACAAAATACTTTGAACTTTCGACCGAACGTGGTTTTACCATAAGACTCAAAGGGGTGCGCTGTCTTCGGATCGTGGCCTTTGGGCTGAATAAACCGGTATACGCGCGTACAGTGTATTTCAATCAGGAATTTTTATTAGGTGTCAATTTTTTTTTTTTTTTTTTTAAGGAATCGTTCAACCCTCCTTCTATTATTTGGTAGTCACGTGCTTCACAATTTTTCTTCCCAGCGGCCTCTGCGAC